AAAAGCAATGTAATAATAAAAATAAATGGCTATCCTATGAATTAAAAGATATCGGTCAAAAATATTAATAAAGATATATTATTGACCGTTAATAATAAAGAATAACCCATTAATTTTATTGATAAGAAGAAATGAAAAGAAAAGTCCAATAAAATTAATGGGGGATATAGCATTTTAATAATAAAAGATAATGAAAAAATGAGCCATAGAATGATAAATAATAAGAGAAAATAATAAATGAAAGTAAGAATAATAATAAATGAAAGTATATTTAGCCTAGCCGATAGCCCCGCCAAAGATTGAAATTAAATTGGCGGTCCACTTATTTTTAGTGGTCATGAAATAATAAGAAGATACCAACATTCATTTATTAAAGAAAAGGAAAAGAGAATAATATAAATGAATGTTGGTAAGATGAAAGAAAGAAAGGCGTGAAAAATCCTATCAACAGATATTTTTATTCATGGATTTTTCATCCCACTTCACCCATTGATTTTCATGATAATTAAAGTGAGGTTGCAATCTATTAATATATATCTGATTTTTCCTTCTTTGTATTAATTTCTATTGTAATTTGGAAGGAAAAATCATAATTATTAATATCTTATTTATTATCGCCTATGGCCTATATATATTATTATTATTGCTATCTTTTATCTTAAAATGCCATAGGCGAAATGGAATAATAATTATCTTTTATCTATTTAATATATATTTCTTTATTGTTATTGGAGAATTCTTATCTATTATTGACTTTTACTTATTAATAAAGAATTCTCCAACATGAATAAATATAATAGATAATTTTTTCGCCAGCCCATTTTATTAAAATATGATCAAAATAATGAATAATGATGATCAAAATATGGGCTGGCAGGTAAAAATAATACATTTCTTTTATCTTTTTATTAGGGGATTTTCTATATTAAAATAAAGGAATGAAGAAATGAAATAGAAAATCCCTTATAATAATAAATAGATATAGAAATATAACAGTAAATAATAAGATATATTAAAATAAGATATAACTATAATGACCTAGACGTTGACCTCACAGTTATTTTAAATTAAAACTGTGATCATGAAATATAAGATATTAAGATAAAAAAGGTGAGGGACAACCGCATATTGTAACGAAAAGAAATGAATAACAAAAATATGCGGTTGTGGAAGGGCAAAAATAATATTCTATCTTTCATTATTTTTGCTACTAGAGAACTTACAGACGCTTCCACAGGCCAAGAGCAGGAAAATAGACCACCTTTATGAAAATTAAGCTTAATTTTCATCTTATATCTTCTTATTAATCAAAATCCTATCATTTAAAGAGAACTTTGGCATGCAAAAAAAGAGTCATTATGATAGGATTTTGATGGATAATTCTCTTTTTATTTGGGGAATTTATTAATAAGAAATCTATAATAATAAATTCCCTTTAATTTAATGTATATGCCATAAATTTTATAATATAATTCTCTTTTTAATTAAATTTATGGCATAATGTATAATCCTAATGAACTATCCGATGGCTTGGATGCGATATATGAATTAAAAGCATCCATCAGCTATTTTAATTTCATTAAAATATAAGCTGTAGTAGCATAAGGAACACCAAAAATTAATGATAGTGGATTTAATTTTTGGCCGGGTACCTCTCCAAAGTGAATAAGTGAGCGGAAAAATCTTAATAAGAATAGAAAATTAATCCAGATAAGATTTTTCCTTACAAGTGGGCAAAAATAATGTCTTACTTTTATTATTTCATCTACAATCTCCACAAGTGATCCCATTGGGAATTTTTATTATAAATAATTCCCAAGGTCATAGGGTAGTGTATTAGAATTATATGTCTTAGCAGAATTAATCTATATTAATGAGATCTTTTACATGAAATTAATTCTGCATTAATATAAAGGGAATTTTACCTATCAAGTAATTCAAATTAGTAAAATTCCCAATATAAAAAGAGATAATATATTAATAACCTGCCATTGGCCTTTTATATTAATATTTATTGATGGTGGCCAATGGCATTAGATAAAAGAATAAGTAATAATTAATATTTGGCATCGCCATTATACATTAGATCACATTAATCTTGGCGATGCCATAAGTAATAATATAATTAATATCTTACATTAATGGCTGTTTAATAATTTTCTATCTTTATTTACATTAAAAAGCCATTAAATGAAGGAATTAATGACCTAACCATTGACCTACAAATCTATTATAAATTAAAGATTTGTATCCTCTTATTTTAAGAGGCAATTATTAATAAACCATGAATTTTCTAGCATATTCTTTATTGAAAATTCATGGAAATAATATAAGATATATATGGGGCAGCCGCAATATATAAAAGATAAGTAATAGATAGATGGTCTAGCGGCTGCAGCTATAATAATATGGCTTGCGAATAATAATTAATGAAGAAATCGCAAGCCTATAAAGATAAATAAGAAGACATGAAGGGCAAAATGCATTATAAAAATAGAAATCTAATATATTAATATAGCATTTTGCCCAGATAATAAGATAATATATAATAATATAAGAGATATACATATATAATTAATATAATGGTATGCCGTTGGCAAATAATATAATAATATGTGATAGAAATAATAATATGTGGCCAACGGAGGCCGATCATTTCGTCTCAAGGACTGTCACGTCCGTGGAGGCCGAAGCGGAACTGTTGAGGCACCCGGAACGTGTGACGTCGTTCTCTGTTCACCGAGACGGCGGTCCGCAACAGTCCGAGTATACTCACCAGAGCTTGCTCAAATGCTGCTCGGATACCAGTCGAGCAGGTGCGCGTGGGTGAAATAATCTCAAAGTCCTGAGGAAACTCACCCAGGTTTGCGAGATCCGCAGCCTTCGACATGGTCTATAGAACAAGCATGAACCAGCAAACCAAATTTAAGACCCATTGAAGGGCCAAGGGTGTCAGCCAGGCTGGGCAACAGTTCCTGACTTGTGACATGTTCCGTCTCGAGCCATTGGTTGGGCGGCTGCCACGTCAGACGCGTTGGGAAACGCGTTGGGAATGTCAAGGCGCCATGCATATCCATGCTTTATAATCCTCATTGCTTCCTCTTGCTACTAGTAACAAGTGCATCGCTTCTAGTAACAAGTGCCTTACTAGTAGTAACAATGTCCGCTACTAGGAACAATGCCTTCTTACTTCCCCTAGACTTGTTACTAGTAGCGATAGCCGACAGCAAGTCCCTTCACTGATCGGTCCTTGGGTGTCACAGGCGTGAGCTGCTGCTCAAAAGAAGCCAGCAGCTTCCGTGGGCTTCGGTCACGCCTCGAAGAACTTAGACCCATTAAGAGCCAAGGGTCAACTTGGATCGGTTGTCAATTAACTATAACTACAACTTACAACACTATAATCATAATATATAACTCAATCAAAACCATCGGAAGCAGCAACATGTGAGGTGAAAAATGTGATGGGATAATGCATATAGCTACAAAAACCGTCAAAACATGTCAAAACATATCAGAGCTAGTTGCATGTTAGAAAGTCAAAAGGATTGAATAGGATTGACCCATGATCTCACCAACTGTAATCCATGCATATGTCCTTTCTCCAAAAGTCCTATGAACGTGCAGTTTCCCAAAATCAAAATGTACAGGGTAATCCAAACACAAACAAGTCATTGAGGCATGTATCCTTGGAGGTGTGTCACAAATCACAAATGTTGTTGCTTCAATGTTGATCTTTTCCATCCGTTTTTCCCTGGATCTTCATGCTTTAATGAAAACAAGTTTCTTGACCGTTCTTGACCATGCGAACTGGGATGATAAAGCCACGGCCGAAACCGTGGCTTAAGGATATGGATGAACCCAGGTTCAACAACTCACAACATCGAGAAAATGCAAATAAGGTTGACCCTGACGATGCAAATGGGTACCCAGGTGCCAGTGTGGCAAAACACTATGAATTTATGAATGTTCTTTTTTAAATAACTGTCAATTAAAACTCACGCCTTTAGTTCCATACATTCTGAATTTAACTCCAGTATGGCCTCACTTTGATCAATGCCTTTCAGGAGGCTAAAGGAGCGCCAAGGAACGTGAATGTCTCATCAGCCAAGCGTTTCTCCAAGCGCCGCCGCCGTTCCTCCAAAAGCTGTTGAAGGAGGCGGCTCGATTCATTTGATTCACCATGAGTCACTTCTCGTTCCATAGTGGCTTGAGCAAGAGTTGGCGTTCGCACGGTAAATGGCAAAGTGTACCAAGTAGTTTCCGTGGGAATATCAGTGGTTGCAGTGGTCATCTAACACTGAATAGCAAGATTAAGATACGCGAGTAATACCCACGCAAACAAGCCGGAGGTGGAAGTTTCAACAGAGTCTGATCATGGAAGCACCACACGGTTCATCCAAATCTTCAGAAAGTTTCAAGGTGGCATTGCGGCTCGAACAATGAGCGCAAATCTCCAAATTGCCAATATGCGCTGACCTACTGCTAACTAAACAGCGTGAGACCTAGAAATGGGGCACAAAATCGAACGTTCCTGCAGCTTTCATAATTTTCATACAAAGTCCGAGAAACGGAAGAATACGCAAGCCGTACAAGGAACGTATGTTATGAGTAGACGGAAAAAAAAGGAAAGGCTGAGGGCCGAAGAATGCCGGAGACCAAGGTAAAAGGGAAAGCACGCAGCCCAAGAGACCGGGCAAACTACCACCTGAAAAGTTACAAACCTAGAGACCCAGAGACGGAGAAAACATGACAAGAGCTCAAAGCCGGAAACCGGCCAACCTATTAGTAACAAGAAGATCAAGAAGCTACTAGGGGCTCCTGGCATCGCTATTAGGAGCAAGGACGCTACTAGGGGGGTCCTGGCCTTTATACTAGGAGCAAGGACGCTATCCAGGCCCGACCCAAGTCACACCTGCGGCATCGACGCCTCAGAAGAACAGGAAGTCCGGAAGAAGAGGACGAAGAAGACGGCAGGCAGGAAGACTTCAGCAAGGAAGCCCGGGAAGAAAAAGCAGGAAACAAGGGAGGGAAGAAAAGGCACAAGAAGCAAGGGAAGACAAGCGCAGCACAAACAAACCTGGGAGCAAAGGGCACAGAAAGAAGATGAAAGAAGACAACACTCCCTGCCTGGGGACCCCACCTGGACCAAGAGAGCAAAGACTCAGCGCCGGGCAGGGATCACTACGACCGCATCGGTCTGTTGGGCCGACGCTGAGCAATTGGGCAGCTAATGTGTAGTTTGCGCCGGCGCCGAACCCTGGATCCAAGAGGCCTAAACAGACAGAGTCAAGTAGATAGGCGAATGCAACGGAGTCCGTCATGTAACCACCGACGTTTCAAAAGCTCCAAACTTCCAAGGCAACATCACGGCTCGGACGACGATCGCCAAATTTATTAATATCCAACGCGTGCCTGCCGCTACAGTAACTCAAATAGCCCGAGATCTAGAAAGGGGCGTAGCTATCAACGTCCACAAAATCCGAGCAACGTCACGGTGATCAGCCACGATGTCCCGCGTGTAGCCGCTTCGTTGGACCATCGCTGCAGTTCATGGTTAGAAAGAAGTTTGACAAGCCGCCGTTTGTGACTCCAAAGCTCACATATACATTGATACATACGCACGCACTTTCCCAAAGGCTTCGCCAAGCTCATGGAATTTACACGACACCAATAGATCAACACATATCATACATCATGAATAGTGTTTACAGTAAGTTTCCCCCAAAATCTAGGAACCAAATCATTAGCGTGAGCTATCCTGTGCCCTGTTATTAGAAGCTTACTCAAGCTACTAGCTACCTCTTCCCTATCCGCGGCCTACCCTCCCCAGGCTTTAAACAAATCTTCACAGCTTCACCTTTTGTCGCTTCTTGTTACTACTAGTATGGCACCTGTTACTACTAGTAAGGCACTTGTTTCTAATAGCTTCTTGTTACTACTAGTAAGGCACTTGTTACTACTAGCGATGCACCTGTTACCATAGTGTCCATCGCTGCAGCGTAATTCACCCATGCCCCTTTTTTCTCTGCGATTGCAAAACGATTAGCACCATCACGCGCGAACGGAGGGAGTCTGACGCTGCCGATGCCGCGATGCCGATTGGTCTGGACCCCCATCGCTATTCAGGCTGTCAGGCTTTCAAGATCTTTTCTGCAATATCACGCATCTCCTGATGCACTTGTCAGATTTGGATGTGGAAACGCCAAATCTCATCAAGCAGTTTCGATGCTCCTGGCGCGTAGTCAACATTAAGCCGTCAAATAGGGATGTGGAGCATCGCACTGTCACATTTACACATGTTAACCAAGCCCGTTGCCTAAACATCGTGAGGAGGGAACCGGACATCGGCTCTAGAACTTGTCCAGGGTTCAGCAGCTCTCAGGTCAGTTGTCCAAGATGTTAGTCCAAGTGTTGATGGCTGACAGCAGCTTGAGAATGGTAAGTCTGACAAGTAGCAAAAATTCTGTCCGATCCCTTGACCAGACTGGGCGCGCTTGCAAGTGCTCAGGCCAACTGGTCTGTCGTGAAAACAGTGTACTGTAAGCAATTTGCCCTTCCGATTGCAGAACTTTGGACTGATAGGATCAGCAACGGCAAGCACGTGTAATCCAAATCCCGACCGCCGCAATCATGTGTCACTAGCTTCGCAAAACGAATGATTTCACACGAGCATGCCTTTGGCACGTGAAGGAGCAAGCCAAAAGCGCTTGGACTCCAGGTGCTTCTTGCTGAACAAACGCATGGACAAAACGTTACTGTTTTAGTCTCAAGCAGCAACATTGCCCAAATTGACATCTCTTTGCACAGAATTACATTCTCCATACACTTGAACTGGTGAAGCAAGGAGTGCAGGCTGGCTAAAGAAAGATAACCAACAATTTCCACCTCATCTGTAGGTTGCACCTGGCACAGTGTCTTTTAATTTAAGCACGCGACAAAAACAGTGAAGAAACCAACATGAGATGGTGTTCCAGAGGGCACAGTTATACTGGACAAGATGGGCATTTAACCCGGAGGGAACCGTCGTGCTGCGATTTTCCGCGGGCCCACATGGGAGACTATGAGCAGCTTTGCAGTGACAAAGGCAACAGCCTGAGCTGAACAATCACTGGAGGTTTTGAAGAGGCGAAGCCAATAGAGTCAGCAACAAAGAGCAACAATGATTCTTACCTTGGTAAAGTGGTAGGGAGGCCGTCAGTATTAGAATGGAGGCCATCGCTTCTAGGTTGGAGGCCATCGCTAGTATAGTGACCCGGTAGTGCTGTGCCAGGTTCTCACCGTAGGTAAGGTAGCTCTTACGGCACGCGTTCACCGCGAAGGGGGCATCGAACCTGACACCACTTAGAGGACTTCTAGTGGTCAATGCTAATGGAGGGCCTCGAATGATCGATCCACACGCAAGGGCCACTACACTACTACCTCACCCATGCTTCACAAAATAGACTCAAGGTGCGTAGCTTTTCGGATCTTTGGGTGATCATTTTCTGTAGGTCCTCTATAGTCCTTCTCTCTTCATTGTTGCCATACTTCACGCAAAAGCCGAAGTCAGCTGCACTTTCTTTCTTTCTTTCTGCTCGCGCCGCCAGTCTTGAAGACTTTTGGAGGAGTTATCAGAAATACTCTGATACTGTGTCAGTAATATACCAAAAGAAAGATAGTCCCCGTATGATATATCTATAAGTATGTTGATCATTGCTGCTATACAGAGTATATGTAGCCTCCTGGCCCGCCAAAAAAACAAGTCCAGCAGCGCAAATCATTTCCTTCTTCACAGCAACCTGGTTACTGTAAATCCATATCCCAGGCTGCAAGCGAAATCATGTGATTGTCATTTCTGCTGCTTTGGAAAGCAAACGTTGAATGGTGACTGGTGCCCACTTTGGCCCTGGACAAAAGAACAAAATAAAGACACTCTGGCATTCTGCCTGAATGCAGGAGTGAGGGCATAATAAATGCTATCTGCATCTCTACTGCGTGAATTAAGGTGGGATTTGATTGGCCACATGCGTTCAAATTGCTCAGTCAAGCTGCAACAACGATGAGTCTCCACAACCTTGTGGCCCAGTTTGCCTAGGTTTCGTAGATCTGAGTTGACAACACCCCAAATAGCCTTCCAGCCCCCCTTCAGCAAACAGTGCTAAGTGATGATGAAAATTATTAAGTCCCACATTCATCAGGTTTGATGGAGCTGCCTGCCAGGCCAACCGAAGCCAGCGAGGTCAAGGCTCATCTTCCCCAAGCTTTCGATGCTGCAGCAGCTCGTGCGTTGGCCTGGAGGAGAGTTCGATCCAGTGTTGCTTTCATGCCACCGCTTGCGAGAATGAGAAGCATTTTGTCTTTTTTTCGCTCTCTCTGTCTCTCTCTTTATTTGGGAGGGAGGCCTCATAAAATTCACAATTGGTTTTCAGAGCTCAAGTGCTAGGCTAGTCTACCTAGCTTGAGCCCCATAGTGACCTAATCTTCGTTGACGGGATTGAGAAGAACACGGACTATGGTTTGCCTAGACCTGTCTACGGTTCGTGGCGTAGGACCGACGGGTCTGCCTTGTATTTAGAGTTGTGGCACACAGTTGCAATTGGGGTGACTCAGTGGTTCAGCCTACAGAGCAAGCTGGTGGCAGTGGACTGCGGGGTTGGTTGCTGACTGCTTGTTGCAAAAAGGGATCAACATTTTAAAATACATTGTAGAAGTGCAAGTTCGCTGACCATCTAACCATACATTGCAAGGAGGGAACTGAGAGATTAAACGCGAGAAAGGTACTGAAAGTCTGAAAAAGGCCTATAGCGGCTGCTGTGAACATTGCGCGTGGCCAAACAAGGTCAACGACGAGGGTTGTTGCGAGCAGTTGGAATGACATGGCTTGATTACGACAGGACAGAAGGTGGCTTCAGGGAAATTAGGTGCCGCATGGAGCGCCATCAGATCGCCTCTCAGGTACCTAAAAAAAATACCTTGGCGTTAGGTCTTCGATGTGTTGATGCGTGTTAGGGGTGACATTTTCGAGGACATGAATGAAAGCAACGTTCTGTCTGACTGAAATGTGAGTTGCTAGCCCTTGCAAAGTGATGGTATGTGGTATGCCACATGTAACAGGCAATGCTGATGGTACAGCGCAGAATCATTTGGAACCCCTAGCGCTCCTGCGTTGGACTGCCAGCAGAAGATGCACCAGGAGTGTGCCTCTTTTTTCTGTCCTTTTGGTGCCCCTCAGCTCTTCTTGCATCTTCTCTTTTTTTTTTCTTTTGCCGTTGGCTGTGAACCATTCAGTCATCCAAACTCTAAACTTGCTCGAAGTCCAAACCCCAATTCTTGTATATAATGATGCAACCTTGAGTGTGTCGCGTGTCTGGATTTTTTCCCGAAAGACTTGGTCGAAACGCCCTTCCTAAAGGCATTTGGTCTGTCTAGCTCAGGCTTTAGCACGTGTAAGAGTTTTTGCATTTGCAAAAGGCTTGACCAACTTCTTGCATGTGCAAATGACTTGACCAAGTTTTAGCGTTAGCAAGGGACTTGACCAAATTTTAGCATTTGCGAGAGACTTGAACAAGTTTTGTCTTGACATCTGTCTCCGTCTCTGTGTCTCTCTCTCTCTCTCCCTCTTTCTTTTCCATTATCTTTCACGCCGGGGCGGACCAAGCGAGAGGACGCGAGAAGCAACCCTTTCGCAGGATTCGGCCTGTCGAGTCCCCAAATGTATAGCGAAACGCGAATTCTCTTACGCGGCAGTGCGCCCCTCTCGCAGAATCCGGCCTGTCGAGCGCCCAAACGTGTAGCGAAATGCGAATTTGACGGGCGCTTGCAGGATCCGGTGTGTCGAGTGCCCAAATGCGAATTTGTCGGGTGCCGGATGAGCCCTCTCGCAGGATCCGGCCTGTCAAGTGCCCAAACATGTAGCGAAATGCGAATTTGACCGGTGCTCAGGCGACCCTCTCCTCTCGAGCCCCCCAAACGTGAGGGAATTGCGAGCTTGACGGGTGCCGGATGAACCTCTCGCAGGATCCGGCCTGTCAAGTACCCCAACTCAGAACTGGCAAGCCTGTAGTACTCATGTAGTACGGGAAGCAGCTTCTGTGTGAGGTGGCCTCAGATGTTCCGGCGTGCTTGCGCGACCCTCTCGCAGGATCCGGCTCGTGGCCTCAGAGCTGGCAAGCTTATAGTACAAATGTAGTGCGGGAAGCAGCTTCTCGGTGGCCTCAGATGTGGTCTCTGCAGGATCCGGTGCGCTTGCAACCCTCTCGCAGGATCCGGCTCGTGGCCTCAGAGCTGGCAAGCTTTTGGTACAAATGTAGTACGGAAAGCAGCTTCTGTGTGAGGTGGCCTCAGATGTGGGACCCTCTCGCAGGCTCGGGCTCGTGGCCTCAGAGCTGGCAAGCATAGTACAAATGCAGTCGGGGAAGGGTCACTTTGAAGATTTTTGTAGTAGACCTGTAGAAGTAGACTTGATCAAGTTTTTGAGCGTTTGGTCTGTCTAGCTCAGGCTTTAGTACTCTGTGAGAGTCTAGTACTTGCAAGAGACTTGATCAAGTTTGAGCATTTACACAGATCTTTCCAAGGCTTTAGCACTTGTAATCCGCTCAGGCTTTAGCTTGACCAAGTTTTTGCTTTTGTGAGAAACTTTACCAAGCTTGAGCATTTGCGAGAGACTTGACCAAATTTTGTCTTGACATCTCGAATCTTTCTTATCTACTTGCAAGAGACTTGGCCAAGTTTTAGCATTTGCAAGAGACTGGACCAAGTTTTAGCATTTGCAAGAGACTTGACCAAGTTTTAATATTTGCCAGAGACTTGACTTGTGCGCGCTGTGCTTACAACTTGCGGGCCCGCGGGGAGTTTAGTTTGCAGTCAAAACAACCACCTCCCCATCACATACTCCTTCTGTGCACAACCTTCGGAGTTTAAAGGTGCGAGCGCAGGGGTCTCCTAAGAAAGTTCGTGTTTGACGGGGCTCAGTTACAGTTACTACCCATGTGACAATCTATAAAATAACGCAGGTGGCACAATAGCAAAGCATCCACCAAGCTCTGGCGATCTTTTATGTGTGCGTTTTTCGTTCCGTTGTTTCACATGATGAAAACAAGTGTTTGAAAACGCAAAAGTGCAATGCAGTCCAATAGTTTTGACAAACGCACACACTTAGTCACAGGGTTTGCAGTTAACCATAATCCACCGTGAAATGGATGAGGGAACGCAAAGCCGCAAAGTCGGCTCAACCGAAATGTTGAACAATGTTGACGCGTTAGCACTTTACGAAAAAATGGACGCAAACGGAAAGGCGGCTGGGTCGGTGGAAGTGAAGGTGTTTAACAAAAAGGTTTGCTCTAGTTACTGAATACGTAGCCGATTGAATAAGCATGATGGAAACCTGTTTTGGGATCTATCATGAGAGCAACCATGGCAACAAAAAACAGCGGCGAAGAGTGGAGTGTTGTCAACTCGCAGGTACACAGTGGAGCGTCCACCACTGCATCAGCATGGACTGGCACCCTCTTCGTTGGACGGGCGGTGCCAGTGGTGTCCCGTAACTCTTAGAATCTCGGAAAAAGAGTGCGACGCACACACCCGGCCGCTTCGCGGCGCTCTCGCGCATAACCTGAATAGTCACCTACAAAGCCTTAGGAAAGAAAAAGAAGGACAGAAAGACCAAAACGAAAAGGGCAAGAAGGAAAGGTAGGAGTAGCGGAAAAAGTGACTACTTAGCCCTCGACTGAAAAAGAAAAAGAACCTGATTAGCGGAAAGGCAGACCTAGAAAGGGAAACGAACATGCAAGAGAGAAAGAACCAAACGAGACCCGACGGGCAGGGAGACGTGCCTCAAGAACCACCTAACAAGCCTGAAAGAAAACCTAGAAACCGAAGGAAGCGCAGGAGAGAAAGCGGGGGGCAGGGAGGGGTGTATGTCCATGTGTGTGGGTGTGTCTGAAAACTTAGCAGCTATTAATTACGCGCAACAGTTAGGGAGCGGGACTTTAGTCTGAAACCGCCCGGGTAGAGTAGACTAGAACAGGGACAACAGAAGGAAAGGCACCGACGCACAAGTGTGTCGAGTACCATTTACCCTAATTGGAGATACACGCTTGGTCGCAGGCTTTGCAGCGAACCATAATCCACAGTGACCTGGATGAGGGAACGGAAAGGCGCAAAGTCGGCTCAACTGAAATGTTGAACAATGTTGACGCGTTAGCACTTCACGAAAAAATGGACGCAAACGGAAAGGCGCCTGCGTCGGTGGAAGTGAAGGTGTTTAACAAAAAGGTTTGCTCTAGTTACTGAATACGTAGCCGATCGAATAAGCGTGATGGAAACCTGTTTTGGGATCTATCATGAGAACAACCATGGCAACAAAAAGCAGCGGCGAAGAGTGGAGCGTTGTCAACTCGCAGGTACACAGTGGAGCGTCCTCCACTGCATCAGCACCGACTGGCACCCTCTTCGTTGGACGAGCGGTGTCAGTGGTTTCCCGTCCCCCTGCGTCATCGGTGAGAAACTCTTAGAAATAGAGTGCGACACACACTCTGACATTGGTTTTCAGTTTGCCCAGTTCCCAGGTTAAAAGAAGGTGAGAGAACGGCAAGGTGGAGAGTCCGAAAAATTGTAGATCTTTGAACAAGTGGTTTATGCGCATCTGCAGAACTCACGACGGCAGCT